ATCAGCAGCATTTGAAGCTTCACCTCCACCCTTCTTGAAGTATGTTTGTTCCTTGGCTTCTGCGACAATGCAGCTCTTGGCTTGTCACTTCCTTCACAAGCTTTCCCTGATACTCCAGGCTGGATCAGGTCCAATTTGGTTTACTCTCATAAAATAGTGCTTCTTCTTTATTGCACTCCTGACAAATGTTTTTGTGTGATTGTGCATTTGATGTCTGTTTGCTAGCAGAATGAAAGTGCCATTCAGGCAGGGACTATTTCTGATTGCTTACCCTGGGTGCACTGTGAGAGGAATTCGATACATTGGAAAAATGAAGGAATGGAAGGGTAGGGAGTTGAGATCAGGAATTGCAGAACAGGAGAAAGCTATAAGTTGAACTGGGAGGTTATTTGTCCTTATGGTAGATAGAGGGCAGGGACAGACTAGGATATTTCCTGTTGGGGACAAGAGAAGGAAGTAGCAGAAGAAATAAAAAATGGGTTCCCTAATAATAACAATAATAACAAATCACCCATTCCTCCATTCAATAAACCTTTGCTGGGTACCAGTTGAGTACTAGGCACTATGCAGGGTGCTGGATATACAAGGGCAAACCCCACACAGCCCTGACTCTGTGACATTACCTGCCTAACGTGCCCAGGGTCACCACTCCCAATCTACATGTTGGAAACTTGGGGGAACCTGCCAAGGCTGGTTGGGAGGCTCACTACTTATATTGCTACCTCTTAAGGGTGTAGCAGATCAGGCTGCCCTGGTGGGTGACCTGGAGTGAAACATCCCAGGGCTCTTTTCTTGGCCTTAATCTGATCCATTTATTTATTGGTGACATGGATGAAGTTGGAGAGGTCCAGTGCTCAGACTTGTGGGTAGACAAGCTGGGAGGCAGAGCAGAAAGAGTGAGCAACAGTGCCAGAATCCCAAAGGCTCTCAATAGGCTGGAACCTTGGGGTAAATCCAAACAATGATGTTTAATAGAGATAATGGCAGGTCTCTGTACTGTGTCCTGAACTCCAATAGCACAATCCCAGGGAGAGGAAGGGGCAGTGGACAGGGACATGACAGTCACCTACAAATAGACACCAGCAGAAGAGCACAGCACATGGATGCTGCTTCTGTCTTTAGCGTACATGGTCACCTTGCAGAGAACCTGGCACTCAGAGGGTGTTTAGTGCATATTCTTGGGATGATTGTGCAAAGAAGTCAGGGATGTGGATTCAGGTCTTCTCTGTTCAAGTCTTTGATTTTGACAAACCAGCAACCTTCCCTCAACTTGTTTTCCCATCTATAAAGCAGAAATGGTGATGCCCATTGTTTCCAATGAAATAATGAAAGCCTAGTACTATCATTAAGTCACAGTCCCTGCTTTCAAACATGCACAAAAGCACACCTGACAGTTGTAAGAGGACAACAACCTATGCCTTGGATAAGCAGAAGTCTTGGCAATATAGGAAGAGCATTTCAGGAAGAGTAAGCTCAGTGAGCAAAGGCTTCGAGGTGGGAGGTGTGCACCTGTGGGCCATGTGGCCAGGATGTGGACACTCAGGAAGAAGATTAGAGTGTGCAGCAGCACACAGGTCAAGCATGGCCTTGTAGGTCATTGCCAAGAGTATGGACTGAGCACAAGTGATATTAAAGGTCTGAGGTGTGACCAGATCTACATATTTACAAAGGTTACCCATTCCCTGAATATGATAGCTTTCTCTAAGATGGCCACCAACAATCCCTTCAACTCCTTTAATGCATCTACCATTCCTCCATTGAGAGGTAGAGTCTGTTCCTCACCCTCCTTGAACCTGGACAGGCCTTAATAACTAACTGGCCCAATAGATTATGGAAAAGATGTTATGAACTTCTGAAGTTATGTCACAAGAAGACTTGCAACTTCTGGAAGGGCTCCTTAGAATGCTCACTCTTTTTAAAAAATATTTTTATTTATTTTTTGAGGTAGAAAGGGGGAGGGAGACATCGATGTGAGAGCAAAACATCAACTAGCTGCCTCTTGCATGCCCCCTACTGGGGGTCAAGCCCACAACCCAAGGCATGTGTCCTGACCAGTCATCAAAAAGCAACCTTTCGGTGCATGGGATGATGCCCAAACAACTGAGCCACACTGGCCAGGGAAGAATGCTCTCACTCTTGGAGCCCTGAGCTACCATGTAAAAGTTTGACCATCCTGCTTCAGTGACCATGTAGAGAGGCCCAGCGTCTGCATGGAGTTGGGAAGGGCCCAGCTGAACCTACCTATCAGCTGTGCCTGCCAAAGCAGCAGACATGTAAGTTAAATAATTTTAGTTACTTCAGACTAGGTCATCTGTCAGCTGAATATCATTGGAGAATGACTCCAGTAAATGCTATAGAACAGAAGTATCAATCACCCAAGTTCTGCCTGAATTCTGGACTTAAGAAATTGTGATTTTTTTCCCCCAAGCCACTATGTTTTAGGTTGTTTTGTTAGTTTGTTATTTAATACTGCAATAATCATAGCACTGAATAATAATCTGAGATAACAAGATAAACTAAAAATTATTACCACTATCACTTAATTATCTTGTAGATTAGGCAACAGAAATAGAGAACACATGATATATAAATAAACTGAGCATTGTCCTACTGGTTTGGCTCAATGGATAGAGCATCAGCCTGCATTGAAAGATCTTGGGTTCAATTCTGGTCAAGGGTTATGCCCAGGTTGCAGGCTTGATGCCCAGTAAGGGGCATGCAGGAAGCGGCCGATCAATGATTATCTTTCATCATTAATGTTACTCTTTCTCTCCCTTCTTCCCTGAAATCAATAATATATATATTTACTTATATAAGTAAACTAAGCATCATGTTTGATTTTTTAAAAATTAAAGGGCCATCCAACTGTGATATGAAGGACAATTGGAGACTAGCTGGAGACAGGGAAGATCAGGCAAGAAGCTGTGGCAGTGGATCCAGAGAGGGAGGGAAAGGCTGAAACAGGCAGAACGCGCATGAATTTAAGGATGTTGGTGCCATGGACCAGTGGTCAGACAGAAAGAGGAAGTGGCTGGCTTGTGCTGTCATTCCTCTGTGCCTCAGCACCAGAGGATACTAGAAAGCTCACGGCATAGGTTCTGACATAGACTGATGTAGTTTCTTTATTCTAACTCCCCCACTTCCAGCTGTGGGCCCTTGGATAAAGTGTGTCACCTTTCTATAAAAAGGGACATGGCACAGTAGGGCCAACAAGTCTGTCACAAGCAAGCAAATGATGCCTACAATTGGTAAATGGTGAATTAAATGATAACTATTAAGTGCCCAAATGGGTCATAGTAAGTTCTTGGTAAATGTCATTCAATACACCCTTCCCCCTTTTACCTGATGACGAGCAAATGCATCACTCCATGCAGTAGTGAGGGTCTTTACTACACACCAGGAACTTCCTGTTCTCTGGTCATTCAGCAAGTATTCTTCAGAATGTAAGCTCCAGAGGACAAGAACCCATCACTCATCACTGCAGTCCCAGCACCAAGTATGATCCTGGCATGCTCACAGAATTGAGCATCTTATAAGCACTATTTCACATATCAAGACTACAGTGATGAGCAAGACAAACCACAGCTCTCAGGAAGCTCATTTTGAGAAAGAAAAAAAAAATCACATGGTCCCAGATAGTGATAGTGCTAAAAAGGACAAAGGGTGACACATTAGGAAACTGTTTAACCAGTGGATGATTAGGGGAGGTGACACTGGAGCTGAGTGTTCCAAGCACAGTGTTCCAAGCTAACACCAAGGCTGTGATGCGTGGAACAGCTTGAGATGATCAAGAAACTAAAAGGTACCCGTGTGGCTGGAGCACAGTGAATGAGAGGAGACACCCAAGGTGGGGCTGGAGAGGTGGGCAAGGGCCACTTCACACAGGGCCTCATGGGACACAAGGACCCTGGATTTTAATCTTGATAGGTCATTGGAAGGTCTTAAGGAGAGAAGTGTTTCAATCTGATATGCACATGTGAGAGAGCACTCTGGCTACTATCTGGAAAGTAAATTGGGGAACAGGTGATGATGTGTGCAGGGAGCCAAGTCAGGCTATTGCAGCATCCAGGAGTTAGGTTGCTTGGATTGGAGTGAAGCAGTGGAGATGGTACTTGCGCAGTCACTACCTCCTCCACCTTCTGGCAGCATTGGGTTCCTTATCTTCCCTTTTCCCCTGCACCTGGGGAACAGATGTGTTTGTGCCAAGGTCCACCACCCTCAGAAGCCCGGGAGCCCAAAGATGGTTGAGTTCTAGGACCATTCAGCATAGGGCGGGTATGCCCATATTGGGGCTTTAAGGGTGAAGGAATGAAGGAGAGGCATCCCCCAATGCAGCCTTGTGTCTGAAGGCACAAGAATATAAATAACCAAAAAAGAGAAATGGGTGAGGAGGAAACTGGGCAGATGGCAGGTAGCTTTATGGAATAATATGAGGTGAAATGACATAACTATTACAAGGAGTCAGGGCAAAGTACATCAACTATCAGGTCATCCCAATATAGGTGTCCACGTGGGTTGGGCCTTCTAGTCAGCTCCAAGGTGTGGCACCCCAACAAGGCAGGGTCACCTTTGGCAGAGAATGCAGTTGCTACTGGTTGTACTCCTGGAGGGGAAGCGCCTTTGGAGGAGCAGAATAATCAGAATTTGAAGTAGGCTAGGTAGAGCCTGTGGCCTACCCTACCAGAAGGCTCAGGCTCAGAAACGCCTTCTACAGCAAGCAGGAAGGTAGCACTTGGACTGGGGTGTGGGGGAGCAATGGGGTAAGGAGGAGTGAGGGGATACTGCTGGTAGGGCCAAGAAGTCTATCACAAGCCAGCCAACCTTCCACCTGCTAGGCAACGCAGTGCAGTGAGAGGTGACCTGGCAGACTGGGCTGATAGCTCACTTGCATTTTAACTGTCAATTTGGGAATTGCCCAAAATTGGTAAATGTCTTTGCCTCTCTCTGCCCCTAGACTCCCACCCTAGCTCAGGCCTCAGGCCCTCTTCCTGATTAGGAAGATGAACCAACCTCTTTATCCCGCTCCTGCCTCTACCCATCCAGTCCACTCTCCTTGCTGCACTTGTGTGATCATTCAAGAGCTCCTCATTGCCTGTGAGATAGGATTCAAGTTCCTGAGCTGGCCCCTCAAACTCACTTTAATCTGGAAATACCTACATCTTTGCTCCTTCTCCTGCACCCATTCAACATGCCTCCACCTACCAAACTCATCCTGGTCTTTGGGCATATTATTGCTCCTTCTCCCTGGGATGTCCTTGTCCCCTATCTCAGCCTCTGGGAATCTTCTGGACTCAACAGAGGCCCTCCTCCTTCAGGAAGCCTTGGCCGGCCCTGTGAGCACTCTCTACCAGATCAGCCTTCCTGGTGCTCACCTCCCCAGGCCTGTGGATTCCCTGCCAGAAGGGTCAGCACTCCAATGGTACCAGCTCAGGGTCAGCACTCCAGTCTCCTTGCTGCCCTGTACCCAGCCCTGTGCTGGCCACTGAGGACAAAGATATACAATAGAGTCCCTGCCATCAGAGAGAGCCAGAGTGCCGAGTGAGGCAGTTTCTCCCCCCTGCCACCTCCCCCCTCCCCCCCCCCCCCCCACACACACACACAGTGCCCAGCATATGGGGCAGACTTTGGGAAACTGGCCACCTACTCCAAGGTTCAGAGGCAGGAGGAAAGCCTTCTGGAGAAAAGGGGTCTGAGTTAGGCCTCAGCGTATCTAAAGGAAGAGAAGCAGAAAGGGCTTCCTCAGCAGAAGGAGCAAAGGAAGGAAGAAGAGAAAGGGCAATGTCTAGCAAAGCAGGACTTCGTCTAAGGCAGGGTACGGGGGAGGGTGAAGTGCTGGGTGTGCAACACCCACTCGAGAAGCCTGTATATGGTAGGAACCGGAGAAGGTTTGGGAACAGGAAACTGATGTGGCTAGAATCAGACTCCAAAAGGTCAAGTCTCCAACCCTGAGTGCCTTAACAATGATGGACAGAAAGTACACAAGTTTCTGAGCTGGCCCCGTTTTTTGACTGCTGTTAGTAGGGCTTTGCCTATGGCATACCCACTGGCTCTCACATGGGGAAGGGGTCAGAGCAGAGAACTGGGGACCAGACTGAGGGGCAAGGTCCAGGGGGTCTTGGCTTCTTGGAACGGGGAGGCAGCCTCTGCCCCAAGTGGACATTTCCTTGCAGGATGGCAGCTGTGCCCTGACCAGGCTGAGCGCAGGTCCAGTGGATCCTCTGGAGCTGGCTGGGTAGCTGGGCAGGCAGCAGTCAGAATGGCTGCTTTTCAGGGGTCATCAGTCGCTCCACCTCCCGCATAAACCGCAGACACAACTCCTCCTGCCAGGGCAGAGTCACACACTGCACGGCCACAGGCAGCCCCACGCTCTTCTTCATGGCCTGCAGGGGACACAGGGATAAGAATGGGAGGCAGCAAGGTAGGACCCCACCCCAGGTCCAGCAAGCATCCCAGATGGAGAGGAGGGGCAGCACAGCAAGCCCTGCCTCAATCCTTCAGGGTCTTGTGTGAAGAAAGATAGACAAGGCCGGCTGGTGTGGCTCATGGTTGAGCATCAACCTATGAACCAGGCGGTCATGGTTCGATTCCTGGTCTGGGCACATGCTCGGGTTGCAAGGTCTATCCCGGGTGGGGGTGTGCAGGAGGCAGCCGATCGATGACGTTTCTCTTAATGATGTTTCTATCTCTCTATCCCTCTCTCTTCCTCTACTTCTAAAAATAAATGAAAACATATTTAAAAAAAAAAAAAAGAAAGAAAGAAAGACAGGCAAGACCTACACATGCTTATGTTTCCTCCACCGCAGCTAGAGTTAGGAAATGGGTGAATCCAGAAGGAAGACCTGGAGTTGGTCAGGCCAGGCCCCATGACCTTACCTTCCAAAGCGCCTTGTCCCACATATCTCCAAAGTAGCCTCTGTAATGTTCCATCTGGGCTTCATCCTCGAGAGTCACTGTGGTGACAGGCACCACCCCCGCTGGGAAGTCCAGGCAGTTGTAGAGCAGAGTGTAGCTGACGGCCCCTGAGACACAGCAGAAGTGGCTGGAGCGGGCCAGGTGACCTACAGTATCAACTGTCCTGTCTGTGTCTCAGTCTCCCATCCTGTGAAGTGGCACCCAACCTCCACAGATAGGGATAGGCTCTCTCCCAGGACTGAGACTTGAGTGAATGACAAAGCCCAGGAACCCAGGTTCAGGCCAGGCTGGAGAGCCTGCTGGGGTTTGCCCCTAGCCTTTGCCCAGGTAAGCTTCCCCACCTGGAATGTTGTTCCTGTTTCCTTGGCTTATCTAAATCCCACCTGGACTTCAACTTCCACCTCCCCACACCATAGACTCTGTAACTCAAGACCTCCAACTTGAATAGTGTGGAGGACAGGGAGCTCATTCCCTCCCAGGACATCCCATCTTTCCAGCCAGCCAGACTATGAGTCTCCTAAGAGCCAGATCCTCCCCCAGGGCTCCTCTTCTTCTATTCCCAGCATCCTTGCCAGGCACAGGGCTGAACTCCTAGAACAGAAGGGATGGGTGGGGCTATCAGGGGAAGCAGGCCTCACCTGAGGACTTGCCTGGAGTATTCAAGTTCATAGCAGGGCCCAGCATGGGGGTGAGCAGCACATCCAAGTCCAGTGCTCTCCACTGGGTGATCACAGAGCTGCGGTACATCTGGGGAGAGTACCATCACAGCAGGTGAAGCACTTAGACCCAGCCCATCCCATAAGCTCTTCGATGCAGGCAGCGTGGCTAGGAGCTGGGGTGGCTGGGGACTGGGGATCTAAACTGAGCCACAATGGGATGGAGGTCCTCAGGGACACAGGCAGGGCTGGTTTTAGGGGGAAGGGAATTTCCCACCTCCTATAAGAACTGTAGACACCATTCTTCTGGCCAGGGTAGGGCCACATAGTGCCTGGTTACAAACAGCAGCATACGAACTAAAAGGCGATCAAAATATGAGCCCTGGGCTGACCCAGCTCCCAAGGATGTACATTTGGGCAAGTGAGAGTCAGAGAGCAGGACCCGAGCAGGCCTGTCCAAGGAGGGGGAGGGGGAATAACAGGCTGCTCCAGAAGACACATGAAACCAAAAGACCCCACTTGCGGATGCCCTGTCCACCCCTCCCATTCCCCACCCTGGTCTATTCTGGGGGCTCTGCCTCACCTCAATCCCGTGCTGCAGTTCCCAGAGCTTCCCAGTGGACCTGGCGGAGGGAGTGAAATCACCAGCCATGATGGTAACAGCCATGGGGATCAGGAGATGAGCAACATCAGCCCCCCACTCTTAACACCTCCCAGCTCTCATTCCTGCAGACCCTTCTCAACATTATGGGAGCTCTGAGAGGGAAGTAGTGCAGGGCAGAATTTTAAATCCTTACTATCCTGTTGAGATCAGGCTGAGTTACCGCAGAGCCAGGGCCAGACCAGGCCTGATTCCTAGCTACACTTAGCAGAGGACAGAGTTGTCCAAGGTCCTAAATGCCTGGTGGTGAGAAAAGGAGCAAATCTACAGGATGCCAGGGCCTGAAAATGGGGCAGCTTCTGCCCTGCTTTTCCTGCTCCAGCCACTAAGGGGCAGGTAAGACCCAGTGCAGCTCAGTTCAGTTCAGATCTCTGAGGAGCATCCTCACAGGGTTCCCAGTACCCCTAGCCCCCTGCCACACAGCAACTCCTTCCTGGTCCTTCCACCCATGCCCCAGCCAGCACAATCTTCTCCCCATCACTCCCATCCTGTTTCTCCCTCCAGCCCTTGCTTTCCAGCCAGACCTGGACCTCGATCAGACAACTTCTAGGTCCCACCTGAAGGTCACAGAAGGACTGTGGAACAGACTCTAACTCAAGGTCTCCAACTTGAATAGTGTTGTGGACAAGAAACTCCCATCCTCAGGACTAGTCAAGCTGGAAATCTTGAGTAACAGCCTCAGAAGTCACTTCCCACCTTTTCCTGTCGGAAACCACTTAAACCCAGGTCTGAGGAAGAGAGAGGCAGGCATCAGGACCTGGAGATTTTCTTACCGATACTTCAAGCTGTTGAGAAAGGCAGCCAACCGTGGGAACTGCAGAAGGACAGACACAGAGTCAGTGAGTCAGCTTTGAGCTAGGTGCTGACAACTATCTTCTTCAAACCACCTTGCCTCCTCTCTCTGTCCCTCCCCCAGGTCCCAAGTGGCACCCCTTTCAGCATGCAGGACAACTAAAGACCACAGGGTCTGGAGGAGGAGAGGAATCTGGGCGGGGGGCTGGGAAGAAGAGGCCATGCCCACCAGGAGGGACTAAGGAGAAGAGGAAGAGCCCCAGAAGCTCCCTCTCCCCTACCCCTCCCCTTGTCTCCCTGTGTCCTCACCAGAGGCTTTATCAGGAAAGACAGCAGTCCCTTAAGCCACTCAGGCATCTTCAGAATCCATATCATGTCTCCCAAGCAGGGGTCCACAAAATCACCTTTGCTGGGAGATAAACGGTCCAGTCCAAGCACTCCCACCCCAGACATCCCTCATGGCTTACCCCCACCCACTGGGTCCTCCATTTTCTATTCAGCAACCTTTGTCCATCTCTCTCCTCATCAGATGCCTGTAACTGCTGGTCTCCAAGCCCTTCAATTGCCTCCTTTCAAACGTGTGACTAGTTTTCGCTAATCCTTCAGGATGCCTGAGCACTACGCCTTCCTTGCTGGAGGTTCCCCAGGCCAGGACTCCAGGTCGCACTCCCTGGCAAACTCAGCTCAGAGCAATAAGGACTGAGGGCAATATCTCCCTGGCCAGGGCTTAATACCGAGGGCACTCTCTATAGATGATGCCAGCCTGGCGACACCAGTGGGGCTGTCCAGAGTGGGCCACCCATGACGCTTGTCTCTGGTTCTAGATCTCAGGGAAAGGTCTCAGGTGGCTGATCCTGGGCCTCGATCCATGGCCAGAGTGAAACATAGCACCTTCCACGAAGCCTAGACCATTGTTGACCACTGGGGAAGTCCAGTAAGCCCAGGCCATCACCACGAGGCACCTCACAGGCCTGGCCTCTGCCTCTGTTTGTTTTTAAGGTCTAAAAACATTCAAGTGGAACCAGCCTCTCTGAACGTGAGCTCTGCAAAGTCCCTTAAAGTGGGTCTGGTCCAACCCACCTCAGAAAACTGAGGTCCTGCTCGAAAGGGAAGGCTATGGCTCAAGTCAGAAGGGTCTCTTCTCCAAAGAGACAAAAAGAAAAGTAAAAGAAGAGCCTCAAATCACAGCATGTTGTCTAAACCCCTGCCCTCCTGCTCAACCCTGCCCTTATCTCTCAATCTTTCCCAACAGCCAGGTAGCCCCTGCTCATCTCCTACCTCCCAAAGAGCTCAGCTCGGGGCCAGACCACAGATGCTCAATCCAGTCTCCCCTTGAGCTGGCACCTTTCCAAACTGTCCCTGGTAAGGTATCTCCAGGCTCAGCCTGCTGTTGGAAATGCAGTGTGGTCCCTTCCCAGAATGCCAAGTCCTTCTTTGTGTTCAGCTGAGGCCTGTCCCCCTTCCTTCCCCAGGTGGCCCATCCGTGGGGGTCAAAGCACTCCACTGCTCTCCCTGGGTCTACCCTTGTCCTGATCCCACCGCAGACCCCAAAGACAATCATCACTCACAAGTTCTGTAGGAAGCTCTCGCCGCCATCACTGAACAGCCCGCCGGTCGCTAGTGACTCTAGAGCATAGGCTATGTTGCTTGGCAGGAAGGGAATCAGCTGCGGGGATTGAAAGGTATAAGACCCACCCCTAGAAACACTTGGGTCTGTCCATCCCTTGCTGCGCCGATGGGCCTTGAGGATAGACTGGACCAACTCTGCCACATGGTAGCTCTCACTGCAGCCACAAAGGTGGCCTTACTGGCCCATGAAAACATCCCGGAGCCACACATGAACTGTTCTGAGATTAGCAGACCAAAACCCACTGGCCCACCATCTCAGGGCCCCAGGAACCTATGGGAATCGGCGCACCAGGTGGTTGATGAGGCCTCCCAAAGCCACCATCACACATCCCTAGCACAGGGCTGAGGTCAGCATCAATCACTTACCCCAGCATTCCTGATTAGCCCTGTCAATACTGCTACTGCAGGGACTCAGTTCCCATCCACAACCACAAAACAGTCAGGATGCAAGAATGCCAGGAAGGGGTGGTGGCATGGTGGTGGCCAGGAAGGCTTCCCTGAAAGATGGGCCATGCCAGGGCTTCTGGGCTCCCACAACCGTACCGTGTGGCCAGCAGCCTCCAGTTTCTGTTTGGTCTCCAGCACGGCTCGCTTCATGGCTGGGGTGGGCATGGTATAGTTGTCTGTTTCATAATACCCCACACGCAAGGGCCGATTGCTTGCATAGACCTGGAGATGAAGCACAAGGGTCAGAGTCAGGTCAGGAGAGGGTGGTCCAATGAGGGGCTTCCCGAGATTGGAAGCCCCTCAGCTTGACACAGCTACCAGGCTGAGGCCTGCAACCCCTGAGAATGGATTGCCAGCAAGGCCAGCCCCTTCTCAGAATAACTCACACTGACCCTGCAGATTCCCCTCATTTATATGAAGAAATTAAGGCTTCAGATCCAGATAATGAGATGGGCCCAGAGTGGTGCTGAAATCGGTCCAAGACCACCAATGCAGAGTGACAATATTATGAATGGAACCCAGGAATCCTGTCTGCTGACTATTTCAAGAATACAAGACCTGACTCCCATGATAAATCGACCAGACCTGATTTCTACCTCTCCTCCTTCTCAGGGAGGGGTTCAGTTAGAACATCCTCCTCTGCTGGGGAGGGGAGCTCAGGCCATCCAGCCCAGATTTCCCATCTGCCAAGGAGCACCGAGGCCCACTCTCCTGTCCAGGGGCCTGCAGCCTTCCCAAGGCATTCAGGGCTGCGTGACGGAGCAATGGAGCTTGCATTGCTCAGTGTACTGTCTGCATTAACATGACTCTTCCACTGTCTGTGTTCATCTAACTTGACTACTCCAGAATGCTTTATACATATAGTGAAAATATTTTTCCATTTCTGAAAGACCTATCAACTCTTCAGCAGAAGTATAAAATGACACCTTATACTCCAAGACTCCTTAAATCCCTCACCTCAAAATCCTCACCTTGCTGTGCCCACCAATCCTAAGCTATTATTAAATCATGATCCTGACAAACCCCCACACTGAAATACTCACCTTAAACCAGACTTAAAAATCTCAACAAATGTCCCCACTTTGTTCCCTGGCCTTTTGAAGTATACTCAGGGAAGAGTCAACTGTCCTTGACTCACTCAGCCTACATGCCAAGCATCACAAAGGAGGTTGGGGATATGGACACAAATACTGAAGAAAGGCTCCTATTTGCTGAGTGTCAAACACCAAGGAGGTATATCAGTTCTCCCTCAAGTTGTTCTGGTGCTGGGAAGTGGTTCCTCAGTGGCAGCAGCAGAGGCTGGGGCTAGAAGGCCGGACCTGTCCTTGGCCAACGTTCCTAGGTGACAATTTGGAAGACTAAAGTTTCTAAATGCAGGCAAGGGCTCCACCTGGTGGCTATCTGCAGAGCAGCAGCTGACTCTGGTCTCAGGCCCCTAGGGACTGGTTTTTAGGAGACAGGGCCTCCCAGGCCACCCACACTGCCTAGGGGCTGTCCTCTGGGCTCAGGAGCAGCAGTGACAACTGAACCCACCCCCATCCCTGCTCACCTCCTCCTTGAAGGGCAGGGGGGGCACAGTGGGGTCCAAGCGGAACATGTCCTCACACAGCAGTGCTCGCATGCACAGCGCCAGACTCTCCACATCCCGAGCAATGGGGCCAACCGAGAGCTGTACTGTCAGGTGGGGAGGGGAGGGAAGAGAGGTCACTCGGCTCTGGGGTTGGGTCCAAGTAAGGAGCTGGGCCATGGCCCAGGAGTGTGGACAGGGATAAGGAGGTAGATCTAGAGTGGTTCAGAAGATGCAAGGGCAGAGGTGGATCAAGCAGACACCCCCCCACCCCCCTACCTCCAGGGCACTAAGGGAACCGCAAACCTCACCTGCCACCTGTCCATAGACACAGCCCTTCAGACCAATCTTGCTGGATAAGAGAAACAAGATAATTGGAAACAAGAAAGAGCCAACCTCAGTCCCACTCCTCACCCACCCACACAGTAGCTCAGAACTGTTACCACATGAAAGCTAGGAACCATGGCCAGTGGAGCTGTGGCTCTCCCTCCCAGAAAAACCCCAGGCAGGGAACCCCTGTTAGGAACCCAGAGAGGTGAGAAGCTAGGCCAAGGTCACACCATGAGGGACCCAGAAGCTTCCTCCAGCCACCTCCTACACCATACCTGAGGCGGTTCCCTGTAGGCTTGAGGCCGCAGATGCCACAGAAGGAGGAGGGAAAGCGGATGCTGCCCCCGATGTCAGTGCCTAAGCCCAGGAGGGAGCCTCCAGCTCCAATGAGGGCTCCTTCTCCCCCTGAGGAGCCCCCTGGGCTCTTGGAGGAATCCCATGGGTTTGTGGTCTTGCCGTAGAGGGGGTTACTGCAGTCATAGCTGGAAGAAGCAGGGATGGATCAGCCATGCCACACTGGCACAGGTGACCCTGCCTCCACCCCACACCCACGAGACCCAACCTGAACATGGACTGGGGCACGTTGGTGTGCACGAAGGGAACAGCGCCCTGCAGCTTTAGCACCTGCACCACCACGCTGTCGTACTCTGCTGGCACCCCCTCATTCACGCTCAAGCCCAAGGTCGAGTCCTTGCCCTAGAAGGAAGGATGGACACCGAGAGGGATAATATGGCTGATGAGTCAGGGCCCTTTCAGCAGCACAGGGTCCACTTCCACCACCCTCCCAGAGGCTTAGACAAAGCACACCATGGTGCCCACTCAAGGCCTGTGGACCTAACGTTTCCTCTGAGGGCCAGGATAACACAGGACCCAGAGCTGGCTGGCTGGGTGGGGGGAAGCTGAGGCCTGACACTAAGGCCGGGCATACCTTGTAGCTGAAGCACTCCTTGAGGCTCACGGGGACACCGTAGAGCAGGCCCTGTTTGGGGGCCTGGGACACCTGAGTCTCACAGTCTGCCAGGTAGGTGGTCACACAGTTGGTCTCTTTGTTCACTTCCCAGGCCTAGGGGAAGGAGAAATGGACACAAGGCAGAGTGAGGCTGTGGTCAAAAGGTGGTCAAATATACATAACATAAAACTGGCCTTTTTGAAGTATACTCAGGAGAAGGGTAGTCAGCACCATGGCTCACAGCCAGGAGCGCAGAGAATAATTTAGGGCCCAGCACCCACGTCACTGGGGACATCTGGCTATCTCTGACCTTCAACTCCCCAAAGACAGAGAAAGAGAGTCATCCTAGGGGCAAGACACAAGCAGGGCACTCGAAAGGGCAAGATACTGTGTCAGAAGCCCTACAGAGGGAATGAGTTGGGAGGAAGGTGACCCGTGGCCACTCTCCTCCTCCTTCAAGCCACACCTCTGCCCAGTGATGCAGTCAGGGCAGATCCCATCTCAGACCACACTGGGAGTCAGCACAATGCAGGGTTAGACCCAGGCTCTCGCCTGCCAGAGACCAGCACTCTCCCCTATGCCCTAGGCCTGGCCCACATATCCCCCAGCTAAGCTTCCCCTCTCCCAGGAGCTCTTGAATCCGATAATCAAGACACACGGAGGAGTGACTGACTCATAGTAAAGGGAGTGGGTGCTTGACTGCAAGGACACACTCACTGTGACTGGCTGCCACCAGGCCTTGCTAAAGCACACTCAACAGGGCCCTATAGGAGGGAAAGGTCAGGGAAGAATGAGGTGCAGTTTAAGTAAATACTCTTGTTCCTATGAAACACCTGAGAAAATGAGCCTGTTACCACACTCAGGCTCATGAAATCTGTCTCCAGGCTACTTACGGCATGAAGGTAGGAAGCCAATTTGTAACTAGAAGCTTTCCGGTGATCTCTTTCAAGAAATCATGCAAAAGTCACACTCATAAAGCACAAACATATTTCAACACATTTCTTGAGCACTTCTATACTAATAAAAGCCTAGGTGGTCCTCACACACAACATTGTCACAAGATGGCCACAAAACAGCGTAGGTGGGACCTGGCAGCAGCTCTGATGAGGCCTGGTTCTGGCTGTCTCTGTCTCTGCAGCCTCACATGGGTGTGGAGGAGCTGGCGGGAGCAGGGGAGGGCAGTTGGGGGTGATCAGACTGGCAGGTAGAAGTGGTTAGGGGGGAATCAGACAGGCAGGCAGGTGAGCGGTTAGGAGCCAGTGGTCCCAGATTGGAGAGGATGCAGGCACCCTCTCCCCAACTAGTATTATATAAAAGACATGGTGTCCAGCATTAAGGCACAAAGACAAATAAGAAGTTCTGTTGCAAGAAAGCTCACATTTGCCATGGGAAAGAGAAAGACAAAGTAGGCCTTATAATGCGATGAGAAATCTGCTATTAGAAAGTGAACACAGTGCTAGTCAGTTTGGCTCAGTGGATAGAGCATTGGGCTGCAGACCAATGGGTCCCAGGTTCGAGTCCAGTCAGGGGCACATGCCTTGGTTGCAGGCTCCTCCCCAGACCAGGCCCTGGTCAGGGTTCGTGCAGGAGGCAAAACCGATCGGTATGTTTCTCTCACATTGATAATTCTGTCTTTCTCTCTCTCTTCCACTCTCCCTAAAAATCAATGGAAAAATATCCTCGGGTGAGGATTAACAACAACAAAAAAAGAATATAAACACTAAAGAGGAAACCATACCTTGGGCTGGGAGGGGAGGAGGGTCAGGGAAGGCTTTGGAAAAGGGGACTCCTTCTCTAGGCCTGAAGGTTCGTCTAGGGGAGCTTGTACCAAGCAGGGCAAAGACGAGGGAGAAGAGCCTTCCAGGTAAAAGGAAGCCAGCACAGAGCATGCCAGGCCCTAGAAGTGCCAGCAGCTGAGCTACCTACCACTGATGCCCCAAGTTCCAGAAGGCTTTGGCCAGAGAGGATGCTGGAGACAAAGGCAAAACAGAATCAGAGAATCTGAAGAACTGGAGACCTGAAAGGGGTCTGTCCAGGAGGCTGGTGCTTGAGCGTGGAGGGAGACAGTGCAAGAGGACCAGGGTGGCTGAAGAGGGGTTGGGACAAGGGGATGGACTAGAGAGAACCATAGAAAAGGAACAGATTAGACTTGGTGACCAATGGGGAGGGGCAGGAAGGAGAGGGAAGTCTGGGCTGAAAGCCAGGTTTCCAGCAAAGACATGATCAGTGTCCCCTCCTCCTCCTCATATATACAGAATCAGTCTCTCTCTCTCTCCTCCCTCCCTCCCTCCCTCTCTCCCTCTCTCTCTCTCTCTCTCTCTCTCTCTCTCTCTCTCTCTCTCACACACACACACACACACACACACACACACACACACACACACATCCCTCTGGCTCCTTTCCTCCCTGGCAGCTCCTAGCACTGAGGTCCTACAATGGCCCTCAGCAAGATAAACTCCGGGCCAGGTTTCCCCCACAGCCTGTGCAGAGAGAGCAAATAGGAAGGAGCAGGGAAGATCACTGGCTGGCCAACCAACCTTACCTTTCCCACGTAGGTGAAGAGTACAGCCTGGGGGGACAGCTCCCCATTATGTAACTTCTGTACCAGTTGAGGCAGAGTCAGGGCCAGCAGTGCCTTGGAGTCCAGGTCAGGGTTCTGGGGAGACACCTCAGATCAGTCCTACTCCCTGAAGGGCTTATAAGCTTGCAGCACTTTGTCCCATGTCCTGAAAACCTCACATCTACTAAGCAGATGCTCACTGTAGCATGCCAATCAATCCATGACAGACATGCCCATCCACAAATCTCACACCGTGACCCACCTTTGCCACCTTGGACAGTGCAGATATTATCTCTTCAAGAAGCTTCCTGGAGGGGACACCCAGGGAGAAGCCATGCATGGCCAGGCTGATTATTTTTTTAATAAATTAGAATTTATAAAAATTAAAAACCTAGGCTCTGCGAAAGATGAAATGACCAAGTGTACACTGGAGGAAAATATTGGAAACCACATTTACATCCAAGTATTAATAGTAGAATGTGAATGCACACACCACACACACACACACACACACACACACACACACACACAAACACACACAAAAAAACATCTCAAAATGAAAACAAACAATCCTATTACAAAGTAGGCAAAAGACATGGACAGGCACTTCATTGAAGAGGATATACAGATGGCAAACAAGCAGATAAAGAAATAAAAACCATAGTGAGATAGTATGTAACATCTATCAAAACACTTCAAACTAAATATAAGAACAGTCCCAAATGCTGATGAGGATGTGAAAAAAAAAAGTCATTCGTGCATTGTGCATTGATGGTGATGATAAAAATGGCATGACAACTCTAGAAAACAGTAATTTCAAAAAACAAGCAAACTACTGTAACAAAAACATGCGATTATTACACATCTCAGCAACTCAATCCAGGGCATCTATCCCCGAGAAATGAAAACGTGTGGCTCCCGGGCTTGACTCAGCCGGCCTGGGATATTCAGAAGCTGCACTTAACAAAGAAAGGACTGCCGGGTCTGGCTCCAGGAGTAAACCTCTGAGCCCTTGGAATGTCCTGGCCCAGGATGATTATTAAACCATCTACTGTGTGCCAGGCACTATGCTGGCGTGCTCTATGATTTATTAAATCTACTACCATTCCCCTTGCACAGAAAAGAAACTGAGGCTCAGAGAGGGGGAGTGCCTTGCTTAGGACCATACAGGCAAATCCCAGTTCTCTGCCCACCCAGCACAGGCTGCCCACTGGCTGTCCACCTGCACCTGACCATCCAATCAGCAGAGGAGGTTGAAGACCCCATCCTGAATAGTTAGGCTGCAGCTGGAGGCTGCATCCAGAGGAGGATTTTTTTCATTCATTCCACAGAGATGGTGCCTACTCTGTACCAGGTGCCACTCTCAGGAGGGGTGATATCAGGGAACCAAGAAGGTAGATGCATACTTTGGGGGGTTTATACAAGGTACAGGTTGTGAGGGAGCAGGTAATAAGTTAACAAATAAGCAGTTCAGATAGTGCGATATAAGTTAGAGAGAATAAAACTGGGGGGGGAGGAGGGGAGGAAAGAAAGAAAGAAAAATTTGGGTGAGGGGAATGGGCGCATACAGGTAGAGCGTGGTCAGGGAAGAGCTCTCGAAAGGAGACATTTGATCAAACACCTCACTGCCAGGCCTCAAAGGCTCCCAGAGTTCCTGGGATCAGCCCCGACCTGCAAACACACAGCCACTCCCTCCTCAAGGGCATTAGGCTAATTTGTGAACAGAGGCTAGAGGAGATCCAAGTCACAGCCACCAGTTCTCACCTCTATGGTTTCCTGCTCTTGCCAAAGTCTTTAGGGGCCTCCTTGTTGCCAAACCCCACAGGAACTTCTCCTTTTTATTTTGCTCCATGCCTCACTGACCACACATCAGCTTTCTTCAATTTCCTCCTGGATCTGGACATACCACCCTCTCTGATTCTCCTCCTGCCTTTTGGCTACTTCTGTCCTCCATTTAGTCAACAAACATTTTCTGAGCATCATCTATGTGTCAAGAACTTTGTTAGAGGCTATGAATTTAGAAGTAATTAAGATAGGCAAGTCCCTGATTTCGGAGAGCTTACGTTCAAGGAAATAAACAAATTAACAAGTAATAAATAGACCACAGTGTGACAAAGCAAATAAACAGAGTGCTGTGATGAAAACAGCAGAGAACTGACCAGATGGTCTGGGCAGGTCTCTCCTAGGATGTGACATGTCAGCTGTGATTTGAAGGAAGAGAAGGTGCCAGACATAAGGAGAGATAGAGACCACTTGAGTTTCCCTCAGGGAACCTCTTTTTCCCTCTCTAATACTGGGCGAAGTTATTCATTCTGGTGGCTCTCTCCAGGCTCTCCACCACCCCCAATGGCATCCCGATCCTCCACCCAGCCTGACTCAACTGAGCTCAATCCAGTCACTGGGCTATTCTCAATGGTGCCCACCCTTCTGTGTCCTTCCCCCTAAGTTTGCTCCCCTACTTCCCACCAGCTCATTCTCATCCTCCTCCGTGTATACCCTCACTCAGGGAAGGGTGCTACATCCATCCAGGTGCTCAAGTGAGAAAACAGGAGTCAGCCTGGACTCCTCCTTCCCCTCCCACCTGCATCCAATCACTCACCAAGCCCCCTAAGTACCACTGGAAAACGCCACCTTTCCATCTCCTCTACCAAGATCCTCACTGGTACTCATCCTTTCTCTTCCAGCTCACTCAGGGACCACCTAGCTGGGCGCCTTGCCCAAGTCTTATCACTCCCACCCACTGTTTCTGCCTGCCCAGACTGAGCAAAGCTCAACCAGGGCTTGGGTTTCCCCTTAAAGCCTCCTTACTCCACAAGCATGTTCCAGGAGGGGTTCCAGGCATGATCCTGTCAGACTCCTCTGCATCCCTCAATGCGACACCACCACTCATACTCTCCACATGCACCCATCAAACAGCCTGTGTACCCCAGCCTCAATTTTAGGAGCACTGTCCCCCTTCTCTTAAATTGTTAAGCAGATACAATACTTATTTGGGATTTTTTTTTTAACAATACAAGGAGCTACAAAGAAGAAAAATATGGATCCATGATCTCTCTCTATACACACTAAATAATCCCTGGATATTTTTTTTTCACATGTACTTCAATTCATTTACTTTTACAACTTATAATTCATTCTAAAGGCTTAACTTCTTTATTGGTATAACAGCTTTATTATTTCAAATTAAGACATCACATGCACTAGTCCATCATGATGATGCAACATTTAGCTCTTCCCTGAATATATTTTTTAAGATATACAAAATAAGCCCAGTTGGCATGGCTCAATGGTTCATCATCGACCTATGAATCAGGAGGTCATAGTTCAATTCCCAGTCAAGGCACATGCCCAGGTTGTGGGTTTGATCCCCAGTGTGGGGCATGCAGGAGGCAGCTGATTAATGATTCTCTCTCATCATTGATGTTTCTCCCTTCCTCTCTGAAATTAATACCTTTTAGAAAAAAAAATATACAAAATGAAAAGTGAATATTCCCTCATCTCTGGGACCATCCTGCCCAGTCCCTCTTCAGAAAACAAAACCATAGTTAAGAGTTTCTCATTAACCTTATAGGGGGGAAAAAGTTTATGAAAACCCACAACGTATATAATTGTTGACATATATTCTACTTGGCACAAAGGGATCATACTATATACACAGTACTACACCTTACCTTTCTCACCTCACAATAAAAATAGCAAGATTGTCCCTCCACCAATTATATAAATACTAGAGGCCTAATGCACAAAATTCATGCATGGGGGGGGGGGGAGGGTGGGAGTGGGAAGAGGGGAGGGTGTCCCTCAGCCCAGTATGCACCCTTTCCAATCTGGGACCCCTCGAGGGATGTCCAACTGCCTATTGAGGCCCGATCCCAGTAGGATTGGGCCTAAACTGGCAGTTGGACATCCTTCCCACAATCTAGGACTGCTGGCTACCAACTGCTTGCCTGCCTTCCTGATTGCCCCTAACTGCTTCTGCCTCCTAGCCTGATCAACCCCTAACCACTCCCATGTCAGCCTGTTTGATGCCTAACTGCTCCCCTGCCAATCTGATTGTCCCTCACTGCCCTCCCCTGCAGGCCTGATCACCCCTAACTGCCCTCCCCTGCAGGCCTGGTCACCCCCAATTTCCCTCCTCTGCTGGCCTGGTCACCCCTAACTGCCCTCCCCTGCAGACTTGATCACCCCCAACTGCCTTCCCTTGTAGGCCTGGTCCCTCCCAACTACCTTCCCTTGCTGGTCTGATCCCTCCCAACTGCCGTCCCCTGCTGGCCATCTTGTGTCCACATGGGGGCAGCCATCTTATGTGTTGGAGTGACAGTCATCAATATCCCAAACCTTTGCTTATAGCTCAAAACAGTAAGACTCCGGAGGTAGCTCTTCCTTTCTTCTCCAATCAAAAGGTAATTTCCTGGCTTCCCCTCCTGGAAGAGCCAAGCTTTGAGGTTCTGAGGTCAAGCTCTCTTGCTCCAAGGAGGGTAGGTAAAGAGCTCTTTGTATTTCAAGGCCAAAACTTCTGTCCTAGGAAATTCACTTCTTAGAATTAATGAAAGGTGGTCTCTCCAGAAGGAAACTACTAATGCTTAAGGTTGAAGTGAGAGAATACCCACCTTTCAACCACCCCACACTCCTGCCAGCTGGTGGGTTCTCTGGGACTGGGAGGGGAGTTCTGTAGGCAGGCACTGTGGGCAGATTCCTGCAGCTGTCCCACACAGCATTTGGAGCTGGCAGAACTCAGCTGGCTGCACAGAAGGCCTTGGGGGGTCCCTGAGGGGGGCACCTAGGAGCTTGGGCAGAGGAGGTGGGCTACACAGTGAAGAACGTGTGCTCAGGTAGGGCAAGTGACCAGTTTGGATTGAACAACAAGGTCTCCCAATCTGAGAGTGGGGAACTCTAAACATTAATGATAGATTTTTGAGCCAGTTTGATGAACGAAGGCTGGAACCAAACATATTTTGATTTCAATAAATAAACAAATACGAAATATCCTGGCCCAGGAATGGTATGGAGTAAATTCATCATCTAGCCAAAACCCCACCACAATGAAGGCCATACGCTGGGCCTGTCCAGTCTCCTTTCCTAGTATCTCTCCACTGCTCCTCTCCACTGGAATGAGGCTGGGTAGTCCCACAAGACACCTAGGTTCTGGTCCTAGCTCAACTCCACCTCAAAAATCACTTGCTGCATCTGAGAATCCGTTCCAAGCAATTTTCTGTGACTCCTTCCCAGTCTCTCACGGAGGTACACCCTCCTGCCTCCTGTTGTCCCCCCATCACCGGGACTGCCTTCCTCCCTGTCAGATGGGAATCCTATCAAAACTCACCCCCTCACAAACACTCCTGGCAAGTCTTTTCTCCCTCAGCACATACAACTGCCATAGTTTAGCATTTTGGTTTCTCTCTCACATATACTCTGAGAGAAAGCCCTCTTTTCTAAGTCCCTCCTCCACCCTCAAACACACATGGAGCTAGAGGGAGCTGTTGACAGATCACCCGGCGAAGGGCTGGAACTAAACCTGCTCACGGAAGGGGCTTGTCAGGAGCCGGCCATCACAACCTGAGAGGTAGGAGCTGGGGCGACTTCCCTTCCAGCCGGCCTCTGTCAACAACCCCCGGTGCATTTGGGCAAGTCCTTCTCCGGGTCCTCTTGGACAAATCAATGAGTTTGAACTGTAAGCTCTCCGGGTTCACTTGGCCATCGCCGGCGGTTCCAAAGTCCTAACCCCTAGCATCATATTGGTTCTCAGGCCAGCGTTTTGGCGTTCTCATCGGCAAGAGATCTTGAGCTTCTCTGGCACGGAGCAAAGCTCCTCTTTGGACCTAGTGGCGTGATGGCCTTCCAAAACTTACCCTCCCTTTCTCTTTCGTTCCCTTTCCTCCCCTTGGCCCTACCTGGCTCAGGAGGAGCACGGGATGCCATTTGGGCAGGAAGGGGTTCCGAGAGTTACAAACCTGCGCTGCCCACACACCTGCGCTGCATACCACCCGCCCGTCCGGGCAGCTGAAGGTGCTGCGGGGGACATCCCCCCCCCCCCCCCCCCCCCGCAACTCCGACCCCGATCCGAGCGTCGTCACCTGGAGCCGGAAGCGCTGCGCCGCCTTGTCCATGCTCTCCAGGGCGTCCCTCTGTCTCTGTCGCGCCCGGGCCGCCGCACCCCGCGCCCGCCCGCGCCCGGACCAGCACAGGGCCACCGCCGCCGCCACGAAGCAGCAGGCCAGGGCCGCCCCGGAGGCCGAGGCGCCCGAGAGCTGGGCCCACAGTTGGCTCAGCACCATGATCCCCCGCTACGCCGGCTGCGGAGGCAGACCGAGGACCAGACAGCACTCGCGGGTTTCGTCGCAAAACCCGGCCTGGATTCGCGCCCGCCGCGCCGGATGAGAGCTGCGCGGCCGCAGGGCCTCTCGGGAGCGCGCCGTTGCTAGGCAACGGGCCCGCGGCTGGCGGCGCGCAACGGTCAAGGTCCAGCCGGGTGGCAGGCTGGGGTGGCCGCCGCGGCCTCGCGCCCTGAATGAGGCTCAGCCGGGGGAGCTCGAGGGGCACCCGCTTCCCCTGGGCGTCCTCAGAAGCACGAGCGCAGCAGTTCGGCGCCACGGCTCGGCCCGGCCCCGCCTCAGCCCCACGCACCCCACAGCCCCAACTCCCAGAAGCCGAGGACAGCCGGAGGCCCTGCGGGGAAGGCCAGCCAAGAGAACTGGGAGCGGAGACAGACTGGGCTCGCGGACCTGGCTAATGCCCACAAACAGTTCAGCAGCGTTTTTACTGGAGAACCTTGCAGCCGGTGGGCACCAGAGGATGCCCACCTCTCCCCAGTGGGAGGCTCCCTGGAGGGGCCACCCTGGGACCAGCACAGGAAGTTTCCCTGGGGCGCCCACTTGTTGCCCTTTTTCTCCAGTCCCTGGATCCCATTTCTGTCTTTCAGGGCTCTTCTTGTTGGCCAAACCCTTTATCACTCCTCCTTCTGCTCCACCACCCCGGAGACTGACCTTCCGAGGTCATCTTTTTCCAGTCCTAGGCCCTCCTGGAGCAGAAAGAATGCCTGACCAGGAGGAGTCTGGACACCTCCGAAAGACATCCTCCGAAAATAAGACCTAGCGCATGGAAAGATAAGACATCCCCTGAAAATAAGAACTAGCGCAATTTTGGGAGGAAAAAATATAAGACACTGTCTTATTTTCCGGGAAACAGGGTAGTACCCTTCATCGGGGGGTGAGGGATTATACACACACAGCTCCCATTTAGACCTCTCTCATAGAACTTTCTGTACTTTATCTCATTTGTCCTCCCAACAGACATATGAGGAAGACATTTTTATTATCAATTTATAAATAAGGCACCTGAGGACCAGAGGTTAATTAAATGGTTTCTGTGGGTCACATGGGTGGCTGAGTGGGAATTCCATCTCAGGTTTATTCCTAAACTATTGTTCTTAGCCGTAAAGCAGTACCACCATCATTGCCCCTGGAAGTGAGCCCTGTAGGATGGGGTATAGGAAAGTGCCTTGTGACTGAAAATGCTATTTGCTGAAACACTATAGCAGCTCCAGTTCTGTCTTTACTTCTCTGGATCTGTGCCTTTACCTTTAAAAGGGGGTTGGTTATAATGCCCACCTCACAGGATTGTTAGGAGGAGTCTTGTAAGGTCCTTTACAAGTGAAGTGTTGTCTGGCACACAGTAAGCCCTCCATAAGTGTTTAGTGGCTGAATTAAATGCCTACTGTGGAAAGCCTTGAATGTTATTAGAAGAATCTGGATCTGAGGGCTTTTAGAATCACTGTCAGGCCACTGAGCAAATTCCAGAGGGGTCCAAGGCCTACAAAAAGGACCTGGAGATCTGGATGGGGTCTTGAGGCCAAAGCAACAAGTCCTGGGCTTGTAACAGAGTGAAATGCTTACTACCTGGTTCTCTTTTTAAAAATATGTTTTTACTAGAGTAGTGGTACATAAATTCACATACAGGTGAGGTCCCTTGGCCTGACCAGCAATCGGAGTCCATTGGGGCCATCTCACCCAATCTGGAGGGAGGGACCATGGGCGGTTGGCTGGCTGTGGGAGGTTGACTGTGGGAGTGCACTGACCACCAGGGGTCAGTTCCTGCATTGAGCATCTGGCCCCTACTAGTCAAGACATCATAGCAACTGGTCAACTGGTCATTCAGTCCTAATGGTTGCTAAGGCTTTTATATATATAGATAAGTTTCAGAGAGGAAAGAAAGAGAAACATCAATGATGAGAGAGAATCATGGATCGGCTGCCTCCTGCATGTCCATAACTCAGCATGTGCCTTGACTGGGAATCAAACCATGACCTCTTGGTTCATAAGTCAATGCTTATGAATACCAAGGCTGTGGGGACCTGATGCAGTGGGGGCCAAACATGGCGGGGATCTCCCTTTTCCAAGTCCAGCATGGAAAGAGAGGTAAATTAACTGGTTCTAAGTGGAGGTGGCCAGAGATTGAGAAATAATAGAAAGAAAAAGACGCAGAAATAGATTTAAAAGCTGGGAGCTGGGTGGGATGCGATTCTGTCTGATGGAGAGGCAGCATGACAAGGACTCTGACCCCTCCCAGCACATTTATTTTATAACCCCAGTACCAGGAAGTATCACCAACTTATTCGCATTTTTATGTAGGCTCTAGCATGGCTGGCTTTACATATCTAGTCACACCCCTGCGACACCTGGGCTGATATGAAGTCAGAACTGATAACATGTCCAGCCTTATTGGGGAAGCAAGTTCCCAGGGCATAGCTCTGACTATCACCCTGAGTTCAGCTGACAATAATTTTTAAAAATGCCCACGTGCCTTCCCAAGCGCTGTATACACAAGGCCACGCTAACTAGGCTCTGATTCTATCTTAATTCTAGCCTGTATTTCTCCCATGACCTTCAGATGAATAGTTCCTGCCATAGACATGCTAATCATTAGACAACTTCTGCTTGAGGCTTGAAATTTTGGTAAAGATTTGCAAGACTGGATTCAGATCAGTGGGGATCAGAACTAAGGAACAAAGAGATTTAGATTTCTCTCTCTTCTTTGGATCCATGTTGGCACCTGGATGTTGCTGCACCCATTCTCCCTGCCCTTGACATAAAGGAAGCCTGAATTCTGAGCTCTCTTAATATAGGTTTGGGAAACGTCTTCTTGAGCTGGTGGCAACTTCTCCATCAATAAACTTTTTCTTATGAAAAACTCTGATGTCTTGAATATTGGCCTTTTGAAGCATCAGGCATACAAGCCTTGAATCAGAAACATAGAGTGTCTAATGTTCAGATCACTGTAGGTAATCACTTCATGTCTCTTGTTACCAGAAAGGAGACCTGGCCCTGAGTAGGTCTGCCTAGGGCCAGTCAGTAGTGTGTGGGTTCTTGACTTCGTGCAGGAAAAATTTCACAACACAAGGCCAGGCAAATTTTGGAGGACATTCATTAAAGCTGGGAGCAGTGAAACAAGGAAGGGCGGGGGAAATGAGCATAGTCTGGGCTGCTTTAGCTCTAGGAAGCCAGAAAAAAAGGCCCTGGGGACAGGTTCAGGGGGTTTGTCAGGGATAAATTGACACTGACCATTGCTGCCCTGGTTGCAAGCCTCATGGGGTCCCTTAAGAGACTGACACCTGTGGGGTAAGAAGTGGTGCTCCTGGAAAGGAGAGAGTACTCTGGGTCCTTCGTCTTGAGGCTTTTATCTCTCTCTTGCAGGTGAAAATCCTAGGGGAGGTCTTAGAAGGTTTCAATAGAATATGCATCAGTTTTCTAGGTGTACTTCAAGGTTATGATCTTCACTGATTGATCAGTGTCAGGGCAGGGAGTCAGTCATTGCAACTGGTCTTGGTGTCACCCATCTGGTTTTGCTGCTTTTCTGGGTCTGGAGCTGAAATTCAACTGAGGCCTAGATGTTATTTCTAGGAGGTGACCTTCTGTACCTGCTGTGAATTGCTGTCAGTTTGTTCAGCTATCTGTCTCAGTTTCCCTTTTCCACTTGTCCTGCCTTACTGACCTGTCTCACTTGAGAGAGGATCCCAAGACAAGTCAGTTCTGGCATTCTGTAGTTCAATTCAAAAGATATCTCCTGCTGTGAACTGGAAAAACTGAGACATGTATCAGATCTCAAATCTGGCCTTGTGGAGCTTAACGTCTGGCTGGGAAGGTTAAAAACATGCATAGACCAAGAAATAAAAGGCATTCTTTGGTGGAAATTCAGAGATTGTGCTGCATGAACCCAAAGAGCCTTGGATGCTGGACCGTGGCTGGCCTGAACAGCCTGAACAGCCTGGGGGAAGCCAGACAGCACAGTTCAAAGCTTAGCTCTGAAGCTGGAGTGTGTGGTAACCCATCTTTGTAATGTGACTGTGTCCCAATTTCCATACCTGTAAAATGAGGATAATCTATATATATATCCTATCTAATAAAGAGGGAATATGCTAATAGACCATCACTCCATCACAAAGATGGCTGACAAGTTCCCTTAAGGAGCCTTAATGAGTAATCAGCAGGGATTTGAGGCTATGCCCTCTCCCACATCTGTGGGGTTTGACAGGGGATCTCAGGCTGCAACCCCCGCCCCCCCCCCACACACACACACACACCTGGCAGGGCTTGACAAGGACCTCAGGCCATGTTCCCCACCCCGGCACCTGGCCAGGGGACCTCAGGCCACACACCCCAACCCAGAACTGGGCCAGGGGACCTGAGTCTGTGCCCTCTGCCTGGCAGGGCTTGACAAGGGACCTCAGGCCATGCTCCCCACTCAGTAGGGCTTAACAGGAGACTTGAGTCTACCTCCCCCTCCTGGTGCCAGGATGGGGGACCTGAGGCTGTGACCCCTGCCTGGGAGGCTTGACAGGGATCTCAGGCCATGCCCCTCACCTGGTGGGGCTTGAAAGGGGACCTCAAGGCACATCCCCTGCCCCATCTGAGGGACATCAGGCCACACCCCCATCCAGGCTCCGGGCCAGGGGACCTGAGGCTAAAGCCCCCCTGCCTGGCGGGACTTGACAAGGGTGGGACTGGCGGGGTCTGGATCTAGCCCAATGTGGGGAGGGTGGCCGGGTCTGAGTCTCATGTGATTTTGAGGTGCATGTGGGTGGGCGTGGACTTGACTCTGGGTCCCCCTTTTAATGTGCATGAGTTTCATGCACCAGGCCACTAGTTTATATATATAAAGAGCCAGGATCCATATTGGACTAATGATGACCAGTCCATCCTCTGGCCCTCAGGCTCCATTGACCAGGGGATGGCTAATGGGGGAACTGGGGTCCCTCAGGCTCCAATGAATCCATGGCAGC